ATGTCAGGGATACATTTCCATGTCAAAGTTACTCAAGTAGGTAGGGCTAAGGGTTAACAATCCCAAGCAGAAATGAACGAGCACCAAACCACCTGGCACTGTGCCTTGCCACTTGACAGTCACTTGCCTCTGCAAAACTTTCTTTTCTTTATTACAGCTGTGTGAAATTTTCACTGGACCAGAAAACTGAAACCTGGTTTATGGTTGCCCTGGCAACAACTGCTGCAATGGTCTTGTTGTGAAATGGCTGCTCCTACAACCATAGGTTAATGCTCTTTTGTTATTGGCAAAAATAATGAACCCAAATATAACTCCATCCACAAACAGCAGGTCCTCAGAAAGCAAGACAGACTTTCCAGTTACCAACAGGATGGTTAATTGCTTTAATACATCAGGGAATGCAGTTAATGCTGCTGCCAGCAGAAGTAATTGTGAATAGAATTCATTCTCCAGGTTTATTTAGAAGACTGCTTTACTGTAAAAAGAGGAGCTAAATCAGAGACTGCACGTTCAACATCCCAGAAACAGGCATGCAGGGCTGCATTATCACGGGCCATGCTAATCAGCATTGCAAGGAGCAGATGGCAGCTACATTCATCCTCTACACAAAGACTCCAGACCACAGAATGCACTGCACTCCCTACCATAGGGTGAGGACTGCATCTATTGTGGCTTGCCCAGCAGCAACATGAAACTGATGCAATCCTAGCTGGTTTCACTCTGCCCTTCCTTGTTGCCCCTGCATGAAAGTGCTCGGTGCAGCAGAGCTGTGATCTGCTGTGGCAAGAGATGCTATAAAGGAGGTAAATTCTCTGCTCTTTCTATGCCCAGAGATAGTGGAGGTTCCCATGTACCTTTGCTGCTGATGCCAGAAAAATGCAATCCTGGGGAAAGAGAGAAAGAGCATCATACAGCAATGGGGGCCATGGATGGCTGGCACAATGACCTACTCCAGCACATCAGAGTTCAGGATCATATTTAGTCCCTCGCACCCCGTTCCTCGCCTGAGCCAACTGCATTGCAAGGGCACTACACTCAAACATATGTGGGGGGAACAGGGTCACTCTAGCAACCATATCAACAGGAACAAGAGTCATCCTGAACTATTACGGTCCTTCCCCATGGCTTCAAGGAGAAAGCACGAGACAAGCACATTCACCACCAGCCTGCAAAGAAAAGAAAGCAGCTGATCATAAGCTGGGTGTTAGACTCACCTCCTCACACAGGACTGTTCCTGCTGCCCCACGCAAGGGAACAATGGTTTGTATGAAATAGACTGTCACATTAAGTCCCTCATTTGAACAGAGTGATGGGGCTGGTGTGCTGCCTCTTGCCAGCAGTGGTTTGGATAAGGATTTAGAGGAATGCTGCCCAGCTCTCTAGCAAAGGCTCTACTAATTAACACATTGGCACCCTTAGCAGCAGAAGGCACACATGAGGCAAGAGACTCCCAGCACTACCAAGTTAGGCTAGGAGATGGTGAGAAGAGACAGCACTGCTTTCTTGGGGTACATTCCCAAAGACAAGGCGGCAGCTACCGGAGTCACCCAACCATCTGTGGCTGAGCTGGGGATTTACAGAAGTGAGTGACATCTGAGTCGCTGATGGAGCAGTGTTGGCCTACTGAAAGTCGCTGATACCTCACCTCACAGAAAACAGTCTATGGAGACAGCTGCAGAGGATTACTTTTGGATCAGAAGGGATAACACTCCCCATTCCAGAAGATGGGAGGTTATTCATTCTAAAGGTAGCTCTATTGCAGAGTTTCTTTAGGTTACTAATCCAACCAAATTATCAGACTGGTAAGAAAAACTCTTGAACAATTGCAACAGCAAAACCTTTGAGGGTGAAAAGGAAAAACAAATAAGCTAGGAAGTACTCAGGGCTTGTCGATGCATCGATCGCCACAGAGTCAAGCGTAGGTCGACTGCTGATCACTCTCCCGTCAACTCCTGTACTCCACCTGATTGAGAAGAGTAACGGGAGTCAATGGGAGAGTGTCTCCCATCGACATCATGGTAAGTAGATCTAAGCTATGTTGATTTGAGTTATGCTATTCACATAACTCAAATTGCATAGCTTAGATTGACTTTTCCCTTTAGTGCAGACAAGGCCTCAGTTAAGAAGCTCAAGCCAACTTTAAATCTAACCTCTATAATCCCTTGCTCACCCTTCCACATCCAGACAACCTCCACCTGTCCTCTCACTACAGCAAAGAGATGGAGCTCCAGCACCCATATCACTAGAGAGGACAGTAGGAGAGTGAAGCAGCAGAGGATCCTACAGCCCAGGGATGGAGGTTAAGAAGCAAACTCTGGATCATACCAGGCTAGCTGAAATAGGAAGCATCTCTACACAAAACAGGAAGGCAGCAATTTCCAGATTATGTGGACAATCTAAATCTTTTGCACATCAGGGACACTAGCGGTCAGGTCTATACCACTAAATGGAAGTGTTGTACAGAGACTGAGTCCAGCAGGGTTGTCTATTCATTCAGACCACTGTTATGTGCCTACTACAACCTTCATACAACTGTCCGCACTGGAATTAGATGCAGAGATTAGAATTTCTCAGGCAGTTGGATGTCACAGTCACATGAAAGCCCGGTCTGATAGCTGACTATTTGAAAACAGAAGCTGTTACCAACCATTTGCCAAACCAGCCCTCTTCACTTACATACCCAACAGGAGAATGAGGAGAGAATGTAACTGGAGAGGCTGAGGAGCTGGTAGGATTAAGCTGAACCAGGTGTTTGAGATGCTTCACTCATAGATTTTAACTTTCAAACTGTTAAGAAATCCAGCAGGATGCAGAGTCACTACTGTGGGTGGCAGCATCTGCACTTCCACAATGCAAAGCCTTTTTCACAGCTATTGAAGAGCCACACTGGGACCCGCGAGGAGCTCAGCTCTGACAGGGCTCTGCAGCGAGCACATCAGTTGTTGCAAAGGCAACTCCACTGGGCCTCTCACAACACACAGCAAGTGTGTCAACACATGCTCACACTTTACGCAGCCAAGGCCCACATGTCAAATGAGCAGGAGTCCAGGGGCCAAAGGCAGGCAGACTGAAGGCAACCTCATTGTTGGTATGGAGCCAAGGCCCACAGAAACCCTGGCTTCTGCATGGATAAGATGGCACACTGTATGTTGGGGGCAATGAGCACTCTGTGGCCATGCTTTGGCCACCCCAGGAGTGGAGCAGTGCAGGTCAGGAATCCAAGGGTGCTCCTGTCCTCTATGCCATGACACCAGGTACTACCCAAGGCACATCAGAGACATTTCCCAGAATACAGTGTGGCTGCTCCGACATGGTGAGAGAACATTTTGGCACAGTTTAGCTGTGCTGCTGGAAATCGTTTGGGCTTTGGTGCTCTGGCAGTCGCAGAGTTACATTTAAGATCTTATTAATCACTAGGATCTTATTATTTGTATCACTGCAGCATCTCGAAGCCTTCATCATCCACCAGGACCCAACTGTGCAAAGCACAGAACAACAAGATAACCCCTTCCCCGAGGAGCTTACAAATGCAGTATAAGATGAGAGACAACAGGTGATACAATACTTGAGACAATATTGGTCAGCATGAGAAGCAATGTTTTTAGTACATCAGCAGTTTAGCCATTGCGAAGTTCTCTGTAGCCCTCATGGCTAAGAAGAGTTAAGGAGGAATCTGAAGGAGGATAACGAGGTAGCTCTATGGATGTTTACAGGAAGCTCCTCTTACGGATGAGGGGCTGCATGGGAAAAAGCATGAAGGTGTTTGAAAATTTAACACATGCACAATGGAGACTGGCCTCAGGGGTGTCCGAGGTGAGCACTGACAGCCTGATACTGACTGAGAGAGGACAGGTAGGGTGGGGATTGACTGTGAAGGGCCTTAAGAGTGAAGACAAGCAGCTGATGTCTGATGTAATGAAAAAGGGGAAGCCAGTGGAGCACTCAGAAAGGGGGTGACATGGCCGAACTGACAGGGGAAGAAAAAGATCTAACGTCTCCCCCTCACGAGGAACAAGCATGTGAGATTAGGGGAGCAGCGGTAACAAGAAAACTGGGGGTGGGGGGCAGAGAAACTACATTTCCATCCGGCTCCTCTTCCGCCGGCGCTGCCGTTTCCCCAAGAGGGGAGAGCTGCCCGGCCTAGCCTGGCCCCTGCAGCAGCCCGGCTCCACCCTGCCACCCGGCGGCTCCTGGCCCGGGATCGCCGCAGAGGGACTCCCGCACCTTGTAGCCCACCACAGCGCCACGGCTGGAGGAGCAGAGACCAGCGCCACGGGCACAGCTCAGGGGGCTGGAGGAAGAGGAGCAGAAAGGAAGGATCCACAGCGTGCCCCCAGCGGGCGGGGGGGGGGGCGCGTCCCGACGGACACAAGCGGGCGGGGCGGGGCGCGGAGGGGAGGGGGGGGGCGCGCGCCCCGACGGACACAAGCGGGCGGGGAGGGGAGGGGGGGCGCGCGCCCCGACGGACACAAGCGGGCGGGGAGGGGAGGGGAGGGGCGCGCGCCCCGACGGACACAGAGCGGGCGCGGAGGGCGGAGGGGGGGGGGGGGGGGGGGGGGGGGGCGCGCCCCGACGGACACAAGCGGGCGGGGAGGGGGGGGAGGGGGGGCGCGCCCCGAGGGACACAAGCGGGCGGGGGGGGCGCCCCGAGGGACACAAGCGGGCGGGGGGGGAAGGGGGGCGCGCGCCCCGACGGACACAGGCGGGCGGGGAGGGGGGGGCGCGCGCCCCGACGGACACAAGCGGGCGGGGAGGGGCGCCCCCGGCGAGAACAGCCGGGCACGGGCGGGACAGTCTCGGGGCCCTCACCCGCCGGCCGGTCCAGCTTGAGGATGTCCCTCAGGTGCTGGGTCGCGTCCTCGATGTCGATGCTGGCAGAGGCCATGGGCCCGCTTCCCGCTACGCTCCCAGCTCCGGTCAGACCCGCCGACTCCACTTCCGCTTCCGGTCCGTCGCCACCGCGGCCCCCGGAAACCAGCCCTGGTCAGGCACGTTCCGACCGAACCAGAGGCGGTGGGTGAGATTCTCCCTCCCCTCCCCTGCCCTGCCCTGCCCTGGCCGCGCCCCCACTGTCTGGAGACCCCCTGACCGGCGGCCGGAGCGTGATGTATGTCTGTCAGTAGGTATCGTTGGGGGGCAGGGGGCATTGTTAGACGGGTGGGTCGGGGGCCGTTGTTACGGGGGGAGGGGGCATTGTTAGACGGGTGGGTCGGGGGGGCCGTTGTTACGGGGGGAGGGGGCATTGTTAGGCGGGGTGGGTTGGGGGGCCGTTGTTACAGGGGGGGAGGGGGCATTGTTAGACGGGGTGGGTTGGGGGGGCCGTTGTTACGGGGGGAGGGGGCATTGTTAGGCGGGGTGGGTTGGGGGCTTGTTGGGGGGAGGGGGCTTTAGGAGGGGTGGGTCGGGGGCCGTTGTTACAGGGCAGGGGGCATTGTTAGACGGGGTGGGTTGGGGGGCCGTTGTTACGGGGGGGAGGGGGAATTGTTAGACGGGGTGGGTCGGGGGCCGTTGTTACGGGGGGAGGGGGCATTGTTAGGCGGGGTGGGTCGGGGGCCGTTGTTACGGGGGGGAGCGGGCATTGTTAGACGGGTGGGTCGGGGGGCCGTTGTTACGGGGGGAGGGGGCATTGTTAGACGGGGTGGGTCAGGGGCCATTGTTACAGGGCAGGGGGCATTGTTAGACGGGGTGGGTCGGGGGGCCGTTGTTACAGGGGGAGGGGGCATTGTTAGGCGGGGTGGGTTGGGGGGCCGTTGTTACGGGGGGGAGGGGGCATTGTTAGACGGGGTGGGTCGGGGGCCATTGTTACAGGGCAGGGGGCATTGTTAGACGGGGTGGGTCGGGGGCCATTGTTACAGGGCAGGGGGCATTGTTAGACGGGGTGGGTCGGGGGGCTGTTGTTACGGGGGGGGAGGGGGCATTGTTAGACGGGGTGGGTCGGGGGCCATTGTTACAGGGCAGGGGGCATTGTTAGACGGGGTGGGTTGGGGGGGGCCGTTGTTACGGGGGAGGGGGCATTGTTAGACGGGGTGGGTCGGGGGCCGTTGTTACGGGGGGAGGGTTGGGGGGCCGTTGTTACGGGGGGGAGGGGGCATTGTTAGACGGGGTGGGTCGGGGGGGGCATTGTTAATGGGGAGGGGGCATTGTTAAACGGGGTGGGTCGGGGGCTATTGTTACGGGGCAGGGGGTATTGTCTGAATTGCCTCTGCCCCATCAAGGCCAAGGGTCCTATGGACCAGCAGAGGCAGCACCTGAGCGCCCTGTGGAGATTCTGCTACCACCTCAAAGAGAAAGTTGGTGTCATTTCCTTGCTTCTGAGGGGTCACCCGTGCATCGAAGGCACAGAGGGACCTAGGGCAGCTGACTCAGGCTGCAGGGCCATAAAACTGCAGCATAGACACTCCCGTGCAGGATGGAGCCTGCACTCTGACACTCTCCCCACCTCCTGAGGACTCAGAGGCCAAGCTTCAGTCCAAGCCCAAATGTCTACACTGCAATGTTCTAGCCCTGCATGACGAGCCCTGTGAGCCCAAGTCTGCTGTCCTGGGCTAGCCACACATCTTTTATTGCAGTGTAGACATACCTATAGAATTTGTCTGAACTAAAGAGAGAGGTCTTGGGGCTAGCCACCATGTTTTCTACCTTGACCCAACTATGTCAAGGTAAAAAGTATTAATCTGCAGCTTTACTAAGAAAAAGGAAAGACTACCTAACACGTGTTAGTTAGCCCCAACCTAACCTTGTCCTCTCTTCCTAATCTAGGCAAACCAAGCCATTGCTCTGAAAGGAAAGCCTTCTGCTTGTGGTTGGGCATATTCCACTGCCTCTTCCAAATAGGACCTCCACAGCCCCAAGATCCAAGGCAGATTGATGATCCCTGGGGAACGGGAGCAGGTGTGCTGTAGGCTAAGAGATGCACCCAGGGGGCACAGGGTGAATCCTGTTAGAGAGCTCCTGAAGCAGCTTCAAGGACAAGGACTGTCTCAGCTCCTGTCTTCCTGTGGCAGGTGTGAGCCCTGGGGCTCTCCACTGCCTGCTCTGTTTGGGGGCCGGAAAGGCACTAGGAGACTCCTTCTGCCCTGGGAATGGAAGGAAACAGACTAGGACTATTTTCTCAAAGAAAAGCAAAGAGAGCAGGATGACATGGCCCTGAAACCATCTTTTCCTCTTGCCATAATGGACTGCCCCCTCCCAGTTAAACAGAAGCAGTGGATCCTCTGCCTTGAACACCTTCCACCACTTTTAGATCCTTTCCATTCACAAGCATAAACATTTATCTCCCCCTCACACTAAAGCTCGGGTGCCTGGCCCTAGCTAATACAAAAGCTACTTTCAGACCCAAACAGGCCCAATGCTCCTTGAACTGGGCTAGCAAGGAACGTAGTGGTCTCAGCTATATGCATCATTCCAATCTCTTTCCAACTGGGCAACTGCTATAGAGAAGAGGGAAGGCAACAGTGGTGCAAGTCTTCACTTACTGCTTCTGGTTTGGATCAAGGATACCTAGGTAAGTGCTCTGCATTTTGACAGGAGATCAGGCTAAGAAAGACAATGAGCCTGAAATTCATGACTACAGCCTGGCTTGGAGGGGTCTGATTTGCTCTGGGAGGAGGGAAAGCATTCTATTTAAACTGACAGGTTTCAGAGGAACAGCCGTGTTAGTCTGTATTCGCAAAAAGAAAAGGAGTACTTGTGGCACCTTAGAGACTAACCAATTTATTTGAGCATGAGCTTTCGTGAGCTACAGCTCACTTCATCAGATGTTTACCGTGGAAACTGCAGCAGACTTTATATACACACAGAGAATATGAAACAATACCTCCTCCCACCCCACTGTCAGTGGGGTGGGAGGAGGTATTGTTTCATATTCTCTGTGTGTATATAAAGTCTGCTGCAGTTTCCACGGTAAACATCTGATGAAGTGAGCTGTAGCTCACGAAAGCTCATGCTCAAATAAATTGGTTAGTCTCTAAGGTGCCACAAGTACTCCTTTTCTTTTTATTTAAACTGAGCTTCTCAGGGCCCATGTTCAACAACAACAGTGCAGCAGTCTGAGGGTGGAGGAGGTAAAGGATGGATATACAACCACAAACAAGTATTGTGGCGCAGGTCAGTACAAATAAGGAGACATGGTGAGGTGAAATGTTATCGGGGGACAGACTGCTTCACAAGTTGAGAGAGGTTTGAGCTTCTTTTTTTAAAAGAAAAAATGTTGCGGCGAATCATGTTACTTCAGTCTTTCCCTTGGATATGTCCATTGCCAGAGACACTGTGTTTAGCCCACATACAGTATCTTTAGACAAAGGAGTGAAAAGCTTTCCTTGGGTCAAAGTCAAATAAATCCTTCACAGGAGGTCAGTTTGGGGTTCCTGTCAGCCAAACAAAGCAGAGCACAGCTTCGTGCTTTCCCAAGTAAGCTCCCTTTCCCTGTCCATGATGGGACCAGACAGCAGCCTTCATCCTAAAGCAAGTTTATAGCCACACCCAAGGTTATGGCATTGCACCTAGGCTGCAGAGTCACACTGAAGGCAGCCTCAATTCTACTCACTCTTTTGGGACCAACAGGAGATTGGATAACGTGAGTCTGTGGCTGAACAACTGTTAAATGAGCACAGATTAACAGGACCCCCTCCCCAATCATAAAACCCATCGCTATTAAGGTGGCATGTGAAAACTGGTAGATGTGAGAAATAACAAAGCAGTGTCCTTTAGAGGAAGCTCACACAGACAATGCAGTCCGAAAGCAGCTGCCTGTCACTGCAAATAGGATTCAGGAGGAGAAGTCACATCTAACGCAGTTAGGGAGATCCAAGATCTTTGGTAACAAGAACTTCAGCCTGTAAGTTGTCATCATGATGAGGAGTCTAAATTTCTCTTAAGAGTAGGCAAAGCACCATAACCCAATAAACTCATCTTACCAGCAGTGCACTAGTTTGAGCAGCGAGGAGGTCTGCATTCCCTCTAGCAGCTGAGGTGGTAGGTTGAGATATTTCACACCCAATGGCAGGAATACTGCAGTAGAGCTGAGCTGTTCTCGGCTCTTCCCCAGTCTAGTTTTTCCAGTGTTAGGACCCAGCCATAATCTAATCTCTGGTTTCTTGGCTTGAGCCCAAGCAAGCAACCTTTGTTGAAGAAAACCTTTATTGATTAACACATTGGTCACAGGTACAATCATAACAAGCCATCATCATACAGTAGAGCATATACTGAATGTATAGTCTTACTCCACACACCTGTTCACTTGACTTAAATTGACCCACAAGGCTATTGCTGTACATAGACCTACAATTTTAAAGACCTGTTTTCCTCTGTAAGCACATAGATTTCCCATCACAAAACATTGTGTAAGCTCTGTATCATTCAATGACTGCATCAGGTTTTTTCCATTTTCTTCTGATAAGCCAGATAACTGCTGGTGGCACATTTTCATGTTTACAGCTAGTGGACAGAGAACTCATGACCCAGAGGTATTCCAAGGAGGGTCACATCTGGAGCAATGTTAGAGCATCAAGAGGTCACCCTATTTCTGTAGCAAGTAGCGCAATGGTCTTCCAGTCTATTCACAAGAGAGCAGCTCTGGCATAATAGCTAATACAGAGTACAGAGCTAGGTGGTCAAACACCCAACACTGCGTATTGCACACAGCTGCGGATGTTTAAAGTCTATGGTGCAGATTAGCTTAGAAATTCTTCCCCTCCAATTTGAGTTAGGGTTAGAACCCATTTTCTTCAGCCAAGACAATTCTAGATAGCTGTCCAAGGCAGCTATAACTGCAGTACACATGTGCCACCAAGGGGAAGGTTCCAAGTTATTCAGTGTGAACAGAAGCCAGTCATTCCCTTCTTAGGGACAAGGAATATGCTTTTCCTTTCCCCACCTTCTAGTCAACATGTGATGTTCCATAAGGACTAGATAGGTTGTCTGCAATAATCACATTTGGGGAATTTTCTTAAGGCATCTTTTTAATATGGCTATTAACACTGCTAATATTAAGGCCAGCATGACCTTCCAGCTAAGCATGGTACCATGAGAGAATCCCAAAAGTTTCATCCAGGGTGGCCAGGACAAGACAGGCTTTTTGGAATGAGAATCCTGGATTTATAGAACGCATCATTCTCCCCACCTAGAGTAGTTAAGAGGGGCAAGAACATCCCTTCTCCTCCTCCCTCCAGGCAGCCCCCCTACATTTGTAGGTGGCTATTTCAGAATTCACTCCAACACTTGCAGTGAGATATGGGCAGCAGTGCAAGAGCAACGGTTTACGTTGGAATAAATGGCTTCTTTAAAGCAGTCCTTGAGCGGAAGCCGTAACTAAGAGAGCAAGTGTCTCTCCCCTTACCCTGGCTCAGCGAACGAGCTGCAGCCTCCCAGAAGCACTTTATGTAGCACTGGCTTCTGCAGGAAGTAGAACTGGCACTTGTCTTCTCTAGATAGGGAGCCAGGGCCGAACTACCAAGGGGAAGAAACTTACTGCAATGCAAGAAGTTAAGCAGGCAAGAAACCTTCTGGGGCAGCTGATTGCACCGTTCTCTGAATTTCAGGTTTGTAAAGCGTAAGAGGGGAGCATGTGAAATAATGGTCAGACTAAGATTGATAGGAAGCATCACTCCTTTAGCCTAGTAATTAAGTAGCTCTCTTGCAAGAGCAAGTTATAGAGTTGGATGCTAAGGGGTCTCTGGGTTTAGTGGGCAGGATCTTTCTGCATAACAGATCTTACCTGATCACTCTCGTTACAATGTATATGGCAACAACCATTGTTTCATGTTCTCATGTGTATATAAAATCCCCCTACTGTATTTTCCACTGCATGCATCCAATGAAGTGAGCTGTAGCTCACGAAAACTCATGCTCAAATAAATTGGTTAGTCTCTAAGGTGCCACAAGTACTCCTTTTCTTTTTGCGAATACAGACTAACACGGCTGCTACTCTGAAGAAAGATTCGATTAGAGAGTCAACTCTATTTGAGCCAGCCTCCTCTCTCTAATTCGAGAACAGACTGGAAGAAGATGGGTCTAAGGTCTAATAGCAGAGGGGAGGGTTTCCTATCTTGAGATCAAAAAAACAATAGCCCCAGACCATGAAGAATGGCCCTTTTGTATATAAGGGTTTTTCTGCTAAGGACTAATCCTTCTATTATGGGATTAATAGAACATTGTGATACTATTTCTAGAGCAGAGAAGCAGTAATAGGAAATTAACAGTCTGCTACTTCTATTCCTTGTTGCCCATTTAAAATTGAGGTGAACAGCAAGTTAGAGTGGAACAAGGACAGTGTGGTTAGCACATCAACGAGAGAGCCCAAAGCCTGTTTTCAGGAGAGCTCAGCTCCCATTTAGGGACCAAAATACATGACCAGATTTTCAAGAGAGCCGAGCACACTGTGTACTGAGCTCTCTTGGAAACCTGGCCATAAGTGTCACAATAAGAGCAGCTGAGTTCTGTGCACTTTTGAAAATCTGGACCCATCAGGTTAGTCAGCCGTAAGTGACGTGAATGATGCAATCTAGTTAATGTGGCATCTTTTACTATGAAAAAAAATCTAGAAATACTCAAATATAGGAATCCCTTCACCAATGAAATGCTGCCCCCTCTGGGGTGGCATGCGGCAGCTGACTGCCTATCAACAAGAACACTATATACCGGTTTAGAACAGAGTTTGAATGCATACCCAATTCAAACCACAGGGGAAGTTCAGAGGCTGAATGTAGTTACTTAGAGTGGGAATTTGGATAGGACATTGGCATTAAATGCAATTTTGAGAAGAGGGAGACATGCAAAAAAACAAAGTTCTATTGGCAATTCAGAAAGCTGGAGGCTACATTACCCAGAGCGGTAGAACACAGAGGAAATACAGTTGGCATATTTAGCTGGAAGGACTTAGCGATGATTGACACCATAACGAGTGTTATGACAAGACACGTAACTAATACATATTGCCATGATTGTCAACTTTGTGCATTACCTTCTGTCTGTTCTGCATAAAATAAAGACTAAAAAAAAGCTTAAACAACTGAAGTCTGACTTTACAGGGCACATGAAAATATGAACCACAAGCCTCCACCTCTGGCTGCTGAAGTGGGGGGGGGGGGGGGGGGAGAGAGGAAGAGATCTGTGGCCACGGCATATTAGGATTGATGTTCAGCTGCAAGAGACGTGATGCAAGTGTACAGTTAGAACTAAAGGGTCAGGTGGATTTTCAGGTTTGTAAGTGTAGACAGCCAGGTAGACACAGAAGTCCAAAGAACTGACTAAAGACTTTATGGTTATGCACTCAACATCCAAGTCATTAAAACAATTTAAACTGTTAAGAAAATCTCATGGTTTTATTATTGTATAATGTAGCATTGAGACATCTGAACAAATCAGTATCTGGGCTGTACAGGCCGCTGTTCTTTCCTTTCATTTCTTTGGGTTACTAGAGCAACTGGTCAGTACATAAAGAGACAACCTTTTGCATTATGGATTCTTTCCAAGGCATGCTGGTACAACACACATTTCTCTTGTCAAATGCAGCTAAGTCTAACTTCCAAACATCATGCACAAGAAACTCATCTAGTGACAACGTAAACTTGGCAGAAGGGCAGGTCATGGATCTTGCTCGCTCGCTCACTGCGGTGTTGCAGGTTTGTGTAGGATATTTGGAATGTTCCGTGAGTGTGAATATATCAGTAAAGGAGAGGAGAAAGAGAAAGCACAGGTGCCTTGGGGGTACCAGCTCAGCCGTAGTTGTGCAGTGCTAGCCTGAACATGTCATTGGTGCAAACCCAGGCATCATTGATGTTCTTTAATATAAATATCTGGTGGAATCCTATGATAGGATCTTCGTCAGCCTATGGAGAGGGGAGGGAAAAAAAGATTTTAAAAAGCTCTTCACTTCGCCAAATATATTCAAAACACAAGATTCAGCAGCTGATGCCAACGGTGATGTCATGCTCTACAATGTACCTTACACCTCCCAACAATACCATTCAGCTTTAAGATAGCCAGGGATTTCTCCTCTTAGATGTTCACACCATATTTTTAATTCAGTGATGTAGGATTTCCTCAGTGCAGCTTACCTAAACCCAGAGTTTCTCTAAAGCCACTGGAGATTTAGCATAGATTTATTATTGTTACAGCAGCACTTGCCTCCTACAGATAAAGATGCAACTGCACTCACACAAACTGGTGGTTTCAGCAGTACTCCTTATTCTGGCCCCAAAAGAACAGCCCAGCAACAAACTGAAATAGTGATTTGGTTAAGTGTAAAAAAGTCATATGAAAGTCAATGAAGTAGTGCATTATGTTAAAATAAACCACAGTCTAGTAAGAAGTTAGTTTGTGATGTAACTGCCGTGGTGGGGACTGGCTTCAGAAGGGAGTTTCCATGGAAGTCAGCAGCAGTAACTTGGCCTAAGGATGTAGCACCATGATGGTTTAAGGAGAAGGTTCCAGAGGGTGGACCATGCGGAGCTGACTGGTTACGTGTTACTAACTCTTCTCTTTGTTTCCAGGTGGTAGTCTGCATTAAGAAAAGCTAAATATGTGAGTTACCATCATAATGTTACTTTTCCATGTAAACGATTGCTGTGGTTGCCATGGGATGTCCTGGGATAACGAATGAGATGTTAAGTGTCCATGAGGATCTCTATAAGATGTGGTTTACACTAAAATGTTGGAAAACCCAGATTTTGGGTATTTAATGCCAGATTATAAATAATGAGTAACTGAAACTGTTAGTTTGGATGGCACTATGCTCAGCCTACACACACAATGCTCTGCCCACCACAACCTCAAGAACTTTGGTTACGTCTTGCAGTCTCGTACAGCTGTCTTCAGCAGCACTGCTCCTGACCAGGTGGAGGGGTTACTTCAAGGTGACTCAAGACCCACCCCAGGACCAAGTGAAGAACCAATCTAGACTCTCCAACTCAAAGCCCATACCACATGCTTTAAGAAATATGTGTTTGTTAGTATGAGATCTCTTTGGAACAGAAACATGCAAGTGCTCTCCAGAAAGTGACTTAATACAGCTTTAACCAGAGAGGCCAAATGGTTCCCTAAGAATGGATTCCCATCTCATAGGAAATGGAACATACTGTGGCCTCGTATGAGTGATTCTCATCTCTTTCCCAAAAGTTTATAGATATATTTTAGAGCTGCCACAAACAAAAGTTGACACCACTGCTCCATTCTTCAAGTTATAAGAGCTTGCATCTTCCCTAACCAATAGCCATGGATCAAGAGTGTCAGATTAAATTGCTTTGGCAGGTCTGCAACTCAATATTAAATCAAGTATTTTCTATTCTCCTCTTTCTGAGCATCAATAAGTAAGTAAATCTAAAGGGAATTCCAGTGGGAATAGAACTGTAGTAGCTCTGAAGTTCTGAATAGAGACTTCATGGCATCAGCACAGTGTGAACAGAGACTGCCAAACCAGATTAGGTCCAGCTAGTCCAGAGGTGGGCAATCTATGGCCCGCGGGCCACATCCAGCCCAAAGGACCGTCCTGTCCTGCCCAGCCCCTGAGCTCCTCCCCCAGTGTCCCCCATCCCCTGCAGCCTGAGCGTTCCGCGCCACTAGTGATCTGGCCCACCGCTCTTGCTGGGCAGCGCAGCGGTGTGGCTAGCTCCGGCATGGTAAGGGGGCGGGGGGTCCCGGGGCATCAGTCAGGGGACAGGGAGCGGGGGGGGGGGGGGGGGGCTTGGATGGGGTGGAGGCATCAGGGGATGGGGAAAAGGGGGGGTTGGATAGGGCATGGGAGTCCCAGGGGGCCTGTCAGGGGTGGGGGGTCCCAGGAGGGGGTGGTCAGGGGACAAGGAGTAGGAGGGGTCAGATGGGGTCGGAGGTTCTGAGGGGGGCAGTCAGGGGGCGGGAAGTGGGAGGGGTCCGATAGGGGGAGGGGGCCAGGCTGTTTGGGGAGGCACAGCCTTCCCTACCCAGCCGCCCTCCATATAGTTTTACAAACCCAATGTGGCTCTCCCGCCAAAAAGTTTGCCCACCCCGAGCTAGTCCCATTACTCTGCCTCTGACAATGGCCAACACCAGATGTTGCAGAGGAAAATGCTAGCAGCTACAATAATGGAATAATCTGCCCTTCTAGGAAGCGTCTCACCTCATTTAGAGATTGGTTTATGCCCTAAAACATGAGGATTTATATCACTCCTAGATTTAACCTATCAAATATAACTATGGATTTTTCTCATAATTCATTCAAATATCTATGCCTTTTATGAATCCTAAACTCTTGCTAGTGCTTGATATTTTGTGGCAAAGACTTCCACAGATTTGTTCGTTCAGTAGGTAGAGGAATATTTCTTTCACAGCTTAAAATGCATGCCTTCCAAAGTCCTTTGAGGTTCCCTACCTCTTTGGCAGAGAACCTCACAAAGGGCTATGAATGAAGCTAAGTGATTACACAGTAAGAGGTAAATTCCATCACTGATAAGAGCTTGTTTATTGGCTTAATTTGGGCTGGGTTTCCATTTCCTGAATGGATACCATTTAGCTGGGATCCCTTCCTACCAAAGCCATCAACAGCCATTTAAGCACACCCTTTTGCTTGCCTTCCTGCTTCCCTTGTGCCTTTATTATTGGCTGCATGCCACCTGCATGCTAAGCTATGGATTTTAACAGCAGGGTTGGACTAGTTTCTTTTTGTGATTCCCCTTTCCAAAGGGAAGTGTCACTATGCTGGATTTTGGGGAACTTTCTTCTTTGAGGATGTTGAGCATAGCTACACTGCAGTCACGGTTATTTAATGGCTCAACTAGCGCTCTGATCAACTCTTTCAGAGCTAGCAGTTTCAAAAAATTTAAACTGCTTCTTTAACCCTTTGCTGACCAGACTGACCATAGGAACGGCCATATGGGTCAGACCAATGGTCCATCTACCCCAGTATCCCGTCTTCCAACAATGGTGAGTATCACATGCTTCAAAGTGAATGAACAGGAAAATCATCAAGTGAGCCATCCTGTCGTCCAGTCCCGTATCTGGCAGTCAGAGCCTAGAGACACCCAGAACATGGGGCTGCATCACTGACCATCTTGGCTAATAGCCATTGATAGACCTATCCTCCATGAACGTATCTAATTCTTTTTTGAATCCAGTCATAGTTTTGGCCTTCACAATATCCCCAGGTTGACTGTGTGTTGTGTGTTCATTTTGTTTGTTTTAAATCTGCTGCCTATTAATTTCATTAGGAGACCCTGGTTCATATGTTATGTGAAGGGGTAAATAACACTTTTTTATTCGCTTTCTCCGCACCTTTCATGATTTTAGGTGTCTCTTTTCCAAGCTGACTGGTCCCAGTCTTTTTAATCTCCTCATATGGAAACTGTTCCATCCCCTTAATCATTTCTGTTGTCCTTCTCTGTACCTTTTCCATTTCTAATATATCTTTTTTGAGATGGGGCGACCAGAAATACATGCAGTATTCCAGGTGTCAGTGTACCATGGATTTATATGGTGGTATGATATTTTCTGTCTTATTATCTTCTCCCTTTCCTAATAGTTCCTAACATTCTATTATCTTTTTGACCAGTTTACAGAATGAAGTCACCCATTATTACTGCTTTATTTGATTTTTGTTACCTCCACATTGTACACAGTATTTTTTCCTGACCCAGAGGCCATTAGTACACAACTCTACTAGCGTATTTGTATAACTTGGCATTTGCATCTCTGCAGACTTGACTGAATGGGCCTCTTCACTCAAATTCTGTCTCATGTTTTAGGGAAAAAGAAAAGGAGGACTTGTGGCACCTTAGAGACTAACCAATTTATTTGAGCATGAGCTTTCGTGAGCTACAGCCCACTTCACTGGATGCTGTAGCTCACGAAAGCTTATGCTCAAATAAATTGGTTAGTCTCTAAGGTGCCACAAGTACCCCTGTTCTTTTTGCGGATACAGACTAACACGGCTGCTACTCTGAAACATGTTTTAGGGAGTCTCTTTAGGTACAGTTCTACTCCCACCACCTCTGCATATGTTCCAGGGACTCTCAAGGTACAGTACTACTCCCACCAGCACTGCAGACTAAATCAGCCCTTCCTTTTTAGCTGGTTACTAGGTATCACAGTATCTCACTGATTTTTGGAAACCAACCACTTTTCAGTAATGCCTTTCAGGTCAGGCTCCTCTTCCACTGCCAGGCATTCCACTTCATCCCTTTTGCTTTTTATTACTTCTTGTATGCAGACAGACATTTATCTTTGGTTTTGGCCACCATGCCTATTTTCCAGCTTAGCTCTGAGACCCAATTACTGTTCTGGAACGTACCTCTGATCTCAAGGCAAAGAATTAAGCTACGTCTACACTACTGACCTTACAATGGCACAGCTGTACTGCTGCAGCTGCACCTTCATAACGTCTCCTGTGTAGCTGCTCTATGCAAGGGGAAGGGAGCTCTGCCATTGGCATAATTCAACCACCCCCAATGAGAGGCCATAGCTATGTCGGCGGGAGAACATCTCCCGCTGACATAAAATTGCTGGTGTGGACAGCACTGTCAGTGAAGCTTATGTCGGTCAGGGTTGTGTTTTTTCACACCCCTGACTGACAAAAGTTCTACCGACAAAAATGCTAGTGTGGACATAACCTTAATGTCACAGGTTCTTTCAGATTTTCATCAGGTCTTATCTGGCAAGTTTCAAACAATGCTCTAAGTGTTCACCATGCAGCACAAACATCCAAGTTTCTCAAGTGATACAAGCTGCATATTTCACTTTTCAAATCAAACACACTATTGGACACTTTACATACAGAATTAGTTATTCTGAATTAATTCTGTAGTAATCACTTCCAAAACCACACCCCATAAAGGAGCATTTGGAGACCCAAAGATTTGCCATATTGCTTTGAAAATGCACAAGCAACAGCCATGCTACTCAGACACTACAAGATCAATCAAGGTGTAAGAGCAAGCAGAAAGCATGCCTTACTCAGGAAGGAGGGTGAAGACCACCAGAGACGGAGAGAGGGCAGAGGTTAAATGTTGTGGAGGGCTAGCCTGAAGACTTCATTGGTGCACACCCAAGCACCTTGAAAACTTTTCAACAAAAAGGTTTGGTGGAAACCTAGAACTTGGTCATCGTCTGCCTGAGCAGGAGGAAAAAACACACACACACATAACTAGACAGAAGTTCCAAAAACACAGAGTGCCATAGTCGTTGCTGGATTTGGCTGATGCAGGTAGAACCTATAGGCCTCAAATGCAGTCTCCTCTTTCTGTCTGAACAAATGCTCAACAGCATTGGAGGCCTTCAGGGAAGGGAGAAGCAGCAAGAAGTGATGGGAACAAAATTAGGATACATGGGAGAATTTAGTTTATCCTTCCCACACTAATTCCAGATGTGTAAAGTAATGACAAAATACTAGCCCAGCTACAAAATCTGCTTGCTCATCCTGATCATTGTGATTATTATTTCAAAAAAAAAAAAAAAAAAAAGGGGGGGATTTTACTACCACTACCCCCAAGATGAGTTTTGGGAGGCTAGTTTAATATCTGTTTAAGAAGTTTTTTGCCAATGAAAGCGTGACTGTTGTACTGTTTCTGCTCAGATACAGTAAGAATCCAAGAATCCAGTAAGAAGTGAGCTGTAGCTCACGAAAGCTTATGCTCAAATAAATTGGTTCGTCTCTAAGGTGCCACAAATACTCCTTTTCTTTTTGCGAATACAGACTAACACGGCTGTTACTCTGAAACATAGTAGGGATAGGATACAGAGGGCCCTAGACAAATTAGAGGATTGGGCCAAAAGAAATCTGATGAGGTTCAACAAGGACAAGTGCAGAGTCCTGCACTTAGGACGGAAGAGCCCCATGCACCGCTACAGACTAGGGAGTGAATGGCTCGGCAGCAGCTCTGCAGAAAAGGACCTAGGGGTTACAGTGGACGAGAAGCTGGATATGAGTCAACAGCGTGCCCTTGTTGCCAAGAAGGCCAATGGCATTTTGGGATGTATACATAGGGGCATTGCCGGCAGATCGAGGGACGTGATCCTTCCCCTCTATTCGACATTGGTGAGGCCTCATCTGGAATACTGTGTCCAGTTTTGGGCCCCACACAACAAGAAGGATGTGGAAAAATTGGAAAGCGTCCAGCGGAGGGCAACAAAAATGATTAGGGGACTGGAACACATGACTTACGAAGAGAGGCTGAGGGAACTGGGATTGTTTAGTCTGCGGAAGAGAAGAATGAGGGGGGATTCGATAGCTGCTTTCAACTACCTGAAAGGGGGTTCCAAAGAGGATGGATCTAGACTGTTGTCAGTGGTAGCTGATGACAGAACAAGGAGTAATGGTCTCAAGTTGCAATGGGGGAGGTTTAGGTTGGATATTAGGAAAAACTTTTTCACTAGGAGGGTGGTGAAACACTGGAATGCGTTACCTAGGGAGGTGGTGGAATCTCCTTCCTTAGATATTTTTAAGGTCAGGCTTGACAAAGCCCTGGATGGGATGATTTAGTTGGGGATTGGTCCTGCTTTGAGCAGGGGGTTGGACTAGATGACCTCCTGAGATCCCTTCCAACCCTGATATTCTATGCTTCTATGATTGTCCATGTTGGGGTCCATCCTACTGCACAACCAGAAACCTAACAGTTTACAGAGCCTATTCCTTAAGGAGATTAAGGGCAGAACCCAAGGATTTACCCCCAAATACATCCCTTGCTGCAGAATCGTGATCCATTTAAAAAAAAATCCTACCCTTTATGGTGACGAAGATAACCTTGAAAGCATGAGTGGTGTAACTATTGCAGCTTCATCTGCCCGAGATGGCAGAGTACCTGAAAGTGTCTCAGATATGAAGGGCCCACAGGCACCTAAACCAGGGCCCCATGCTAAGATTCTGAGACTGTTAAACTTAGTATTCCCCCTTCACCACCACCTCCCCCTGCCCCGAAAGAGAGACATGGAATTAAGCATTTTTGCCATGAAATAGTTATTTGCTGCAGCCAGGTGCCTGACATCTTGCTCTGCAGTTTTCCTCACTGGGGTTAAGTTCATTGTACATACTGCATGCTCGCAGCACTGTTCCATGGAACCAAGCTGCAGAGGCTAATGGACCAGAGCTGGAGTCCAGCTTGCAGCTAGGGAGCCAGAAGTATAGGCTGGCCAGCTGGGCTGCCGGTAGAACAGTGCAGCCACCAAGGCTTGGGAAGTCAGAGAGCTGAACTTCTGAGGTCAGCTCCATGTTCGCCTCCCACCCCCATTCCTAGCCCCACATGAGAGGGAAGCGGTTCTGAACGAGACTGCCTGGGCAGTTGCAGAAGCAAAGGCCTAGGCTACCTGGAGAACATAGTGAAAAGCACACCCTTGAAAATAATCAATACTTTTACATCACTGAGAATTTTCACTGATGAGCCACAGCTTGGGGGGAGGGAGAAGAGGGGGCATGGTGGGAATGGGACAGACAGGGGGACATAGAGGGAAACGCAAAGGATAATTTGTGATGGTACAATGTAGTTGTTGCTGGCATTTTCTACCTGGGTTCCAATTATAGGGTAATTCTTGGTCTTCACTAAAAGAGGAAGACCTGTAGTTTTAGGTTTCAATAATGTCCAGAAGCAGGTGGTGTGAGGCCAAGAGCTGCTCTTCCCCACTACCCAACTAGAGCAGGTGGGGCAGATCAGCTCCTTTGGGGGCTCAAGGGGATTTAAATAACTCAGATCCAGCCTGACACTTTAGTCCATCCCAGATTCTGCTGGAGGTTTGATGACAAGAACACGCTGTTTACAGAGTCTGAAGGAGTAAACATTGACAGTATTCTGTGAAGGAAACTGGAGCATGCTAGCCACAAAGCTGGATGGGCTGGGGATCCTGTCGTGGCACCATGCACTCTCACAGGACCCAGCATGTTTCTGGCATGCCTCACTGAGTGTTAATGCCATTGGCTTTGGCTAGTTTCTTTAAGGAACTTTGTGGCCTCAAGGACAAGGCAGCTCTTATTCTAAAGAACAAGCCCAACAAATCCTCTCAATCTACTGTCTTCAGGACTTTGGAAGCACAGCTCTTCCCCCAGAGAGGTGGAGGACCAAAATGAGGTTGATTTAGTTCAACAGCACAGCAGAGGTGACAATGTATACATTGTGTGTTCAGGGCAAACTGAAGCCATGTGGGTAAAAATAATCTGGAGCAGTGTTCGCTCTAATTTTTCCCACTCATGTGTGGAATGAATATTGTTACGTGCACCAATATGGAGGTGATGTGTGACAAATCACCTCCATATTGGTGCACGTAAAATTACTGGGGAGGGGAGGGTTTTGGAGTGTGGGAGGGGGCTCAGGGCTCTAGGGCAAAGGGTTGGGGTGTGGGCTCTGGCTGGGGGTGATGGATTCAGGGTGTGGGAGGGGGCTCAGGGCGAGTTTCAGAGGGTTGGGGTGCAGGGAGGTGTGACGGCTCCAGCTGGGGACATGGGCTCTAGGGTGGGGCTGGCGATGAGGAGTTTGGGGTGCTGGCACGCTGCCCTGGGGCTGGGGCCAAAGGACTCCCCCCCCCACCGTCTCCCTGCTGGCAGCCCACAGAGCTCCGGGGGAGGGGTCATCCTCTTCCCGCTGGCAGAGGTGAGCGAGCGGCTGGTGGCAGCCCTGCACTCCTCAGCTTGCTCCCCTCCCCAGACCCCACCCACCCCCTACCTCTCTCCTCTCCAGGCCTCTGCTGCACGGCCCTTTATAGCCTGCCGCGTGGCCACGCGGCTTAGAGAGAACTTAGAACTGGAGTAGCTTCCAGAGAAGGGACCTCTTCAATGCTTGATGGCATGAGCTCACTCAGACAATATCACCATTCCTGAATCAGTTTTGGCCACAAAGAGGCAGAACAGGATTGCAGATGCAATCCCTGGGCATTTGACCCAAGTGCCCTATCAGTCAGCCCTACTCTTCCCATACTGCGGCTGACTAACCTTAACCCAAGTGCCTGCACAGAAATGGAATAGCAAGGCTCCATTACAAGGACTGTCAACTAATATGAAGAACTACTAGTCTGTCCTTGCTCTTCCATGGAGCAGCTGTACCAGAGGGCAGATGGAGGCATCACAGCCTGCACTGCTAAACTGTATGAACAAGGAAACCAAATTTACACCTTCCTGAAGAATTATGAACCAAGCTGCCATTAAACAGAAACTGCATCAGTTAAGACAGTGGTTCTCAACCCACGGTATTGGATGCGGCCCACATAACACATCGTGGGCCGCATATGTGGTCCACAATGGTAACTAGCTTGAGAACCACTGAGTTAAGACCTTTACTGCAGTCATGACCTCAGTATGAATGAGAACAACAGTACATCTAAAAGCCAAACCAAAGAAGTGATGCTTCCCATGACATTGCTGAGGTGCAGAGGTTTTACAAAGGGCTTTTAATCTAGCGTGGCGAGCAGTTTCTCTTGGAAATGTTCTACACCAGAAGCATGACACACCAGTGTAGGCATTAATAGGTGCCTCCAAGATACATAAGCTGCTTTATAAACATCAGATGATTAAGTATCCTGAAGAAAACATTAGGACATTAGCATTTATTTCCCTGTAATGGAAAGGAGAGTTTACCTTAAGTTGTCCCACAACCATACTGAGTATACAACTGTCAGGCGTGGGCTGATGGTCTTGTGATGTGATGCTGTGCTGTATTTTTTGAAAAGGAAGGCTCTACAATGAGAAGGAAAAGAACAGGGTGAGCAGATAGGAAGTGTTCCCCTCCTTAGAATTTACTATACAATACACATTTCATGTAGGAAAATCAGTTAAGTGCAGTGGCATAAGAAGCTGAACTAGTTTGAAAATAGACATAAGTTTACATTCTCAGTGCCCTAGAAAGATGCAGGTGGTCAGCAACTGAGTACCTGTGTTTTTCTGAAGACTTTCTACTAAAGAACAAAATTAATTTTGCAGATAAACAAATACTCCATAAGCCCCATCTCAAAGTGGAAGTCAGATTTAGCAGCTACCCTTTTAATGAAAAGAACCTGGTCTCTCTGGAGTGACAACCTGGTTGTTCCCTCCAGCCCTGCGAAAGGCTGCAAGAAATCTTCACCAGAGAGGCACTCATAATTAATTATGTTATTGTAGGTTCTCATCTCAGAGTCCCCATTCTCTTCCCTTTCTGCATTCCACTTTCTAGCACCTTCACTCCTTTTATTTGTCCCTCCTGAGTTATTTCAGACACATGGATATGACGGCCACTGAATACTACCAAGCTACATTCAGCTAGGTTGACCACAATCAGCTAACCCATTTTTAAAGGTGTTGAACTCTGTCTCCGTCAGCTGCTAAGGAGTGCTTAAAAAGCACTCACCTTTTTTCTTAATCTAACTAGACAGCGCCTTATGGTTGCTTTATAAATGAGGTGAAGCTCTGTTCAATATGAACTTTCATACTCGTAAGAGCTGAATTTGAAACAAAAGCTGTGCTAATATCACTGAGGCAGGTGGCATGCAATTTGAGATTCAGTACCCAGAGCCCTGCCAGTAAAGACCACAAACTTTTGCTTTCTCATTAGTATAGTGGCTGCCAGCAGAGGGCTCAGAAATGTCAAGTTTAATCAAATGTACCTGTAGGGGGAACTTCTCTGTTTCTACATGCAAGGAAATGCTTCCCTTATACTTTGGAAACTGGTGCTTTCTTTAATATAGTCTGGTTCAGTAAGCACCTCACATGTGAACAGCTGATGAGCACTAGATTTGAGAGAAAAGTTGGGCATGACAATTATATTGTTGGTTTGTAGAAGGGAATAGTCTACCTATAGCTAATACAGCAGATTTATTAAGTTCAGCATCATACACAGAACATCTCTGAGGGCACAACAAAAAGCAGCATTTAGTAGCAGGACAACAAAAGCCAGTGTTGGTGGCAGTGAATTTGTGCACCCAACGTGTGGCAGAGACTCTAGAGAGCAGATTTTTGTCATATTGGCGATAATGTGTCTGCCTGACACCAAGTGCTAACCTAACCAAGGGTTAGGCTAGACCAGGACATTGATTCAAATCCCCTTGCCCATTTTCCTCTGAGCCTCACTTTCTGATACATTTCCCCAGGCTGAATCTCTGAGATTTTAACAGAAACCTGCTTGCTTTGCAATGTCCCATAGCTCCTCACCTGACCCAACAGACCCAGTGGCTGCTAAGAAAATTTGCAGGAGGTGGATTGAAGGGGTTTCACTGTAAGATGCCATCTTAGTTTATTTTGATTGCTGCTCCCCTTATATGTGCTGTTGTCTTTTTAGCACAAGTATTTAAATTGCAAACTATCTGTAGCAGGCACGGCCTCTCATTGTGTGTGTGTCTGCCACTAGGGCCCTGATCCTGGGAGGTGCCTCTAGGGGCTACGAATAAAAGAGAATCACAATTAATAATAAAAATTTTGAAGACAAAGTTAGGTTCTAATGACACCTGTGCTACCCTGTTGCCGTTCGTGGATTTGCACAAGTGTAACTGATTGGAACTAAGTAAACAATTCAGTTGATGCACAAGAAATACAGGCCAGGTCCCTCTCAGCTGTGTTGGCTCTGCAGGGCTAATGGGAGCATTCACAAAAGAAACTGAACATGGAGTGAAAGTGCTCAGCACTATCCTGCACTCCTCAGGCCCTTTCAGAACACAGGAGTTTAATTCCCCAAACTCAAAATGCTGGAAAACCAGGATAAGGAATTACAGTGACACTTTGCACAGAAACAGCCTTAACCATCCCCTTCCCTAGTGAGTCCTTCTAGGGAAATCACAGTACCTGGCATGTCCCTCAGACTCTGCCAACCAGCAGCAAGTGCACCCTGAAGTACAGTGAGGGTCTGCTGGCTTGTATGAATAGCAGAGCTGATTTGGAGCTGAGTAGGGCAAAGAGAAAGTAGCAGGTTTGGTTAGGGAGAAATAGGGTACTGGTCTGTTCCCAGGTCCGAGAGAGATATTCACATGGCACAGAGTTAAGGCTGTTTGGGGATATGTTTCGACTCTATATACAATTTTATCCTGCCCTCATCATCAGAGTATCCGAGTGCCTTCCAGCAGTGCATTAAGCAGTGGGAGAGAACTATATGTGCTTAGTTCCTGTGGGAGTTTGTTTCACATTCTTGCACTGGCCCTTTGGCCCTGAAGAAACCTCCATCTCCTGCACAAACAAGCTTTTCAGTGCTGTGTGGGACATGCCATCTTAACTCAACATTTCCTGAGTCTCCCCCACTCGTGTTTTTTCCCATACTGCTAGCCTTCGCATAAAGGGCACGTAAAAGGAACTTTAACTCCACATATCCTGGTGTGCCACCATTCCAGTTCTGGGAATTAAACTCTTGAGGGACACAGCCCAGTGATTTTTGGTGGACACTGCCTATATTGTTTTAGGCTGGGTCCAGGGGAATCAGCTGAAGAATCTGCGCTCACAGCTGTTGAAATCTCAGATCAGCACCACTTTCCGTAACCCGCCTGCTAAATGCTGTGGCGGGGGGCGGGGGGAAAGGTTAAATCACTGAGCCTCTGATTCACTGAGCTCTTCCTCGAGAAGCCAGAGCCCAACTTCGCCCTCTGGATCAGGCAGGGAAACTCCCCTGCAATGATGCTCACAAGAAACCCGAGGCAGGTGGTGTCTCTACATTTCCATATGCAAGAAAGGTCAGTCAACGGGCCCAGGTTTTAAACGCCAGTTGTCTGAGTGTCTGGTGATCACGGTCACTTGTCTGGCCTAACTTTTCAGCTGGCCTGGGGATGCCGCCTAGACTGGTCTTCCTGCTCCTACCTGGGGAGCCATAGTGCCTTTCCTTTCCAGTCAGGGACAAGGGAACACCAGATACCCAGAGGCAGTTTTGTTTTGAATTGGAGAGTCCAAATAGTATAGGATAGAACTGACATGAATACTTCACAGATTGAGATTTAGTGTTTGAACAACACTCATCAGCATGGTCACATTCACAGAATCATAGAAGATTAGGGTTGGAAGAGACCTCGGGAGGTCATGTAGTCCAACCCCCTGCTCAAAGCAGGACCAACACCAACTAAAGCATCCCAGCCAGCCTTTTGTCAAGCCGGGCCTTAAAAACCTCTAAGGATGGAGATTCCACCACCTCCCTAGGTAAACCATTCCAGTGCTTCACCACCCTCCTAGTGAAAGAGTGTTTCCTAATATCCAGCCTAGACGCCCCCCACTGCAACTTGAGACCATTGCTCCCTTGTTCTGTCATCTGCCACCACTGAGAACAGCTGAGCTCCATCCTCTTAGGAACCCCCCTTCAGGTAGTTGAAGGCTGCTATCAAATTCCCCCTCACTCTTTTCTTCTGCAGACTGAACAAGCCCAGTTCCCTCAGCCTCTCCTCGTAAGACACGTGCCCCAACCTCTGAAAATTTTCGTTGCCCTCCACTGGACTCTCTCCAATTTGTCCACATCCTTTCGCGGGGGGCCCAAAACTGCATGCAATATTCCAGGGGTGGCCTCACCAGTGCTGAATAGAGGGGAATAATCACTTCCCTAGATCTGCTGGCAATGCTCCTACTAATGCAGTCCAATACGTTGTTAGCTATCTTGGCAACATGGGCACACTGCTGACTCACATCCAGCTTCTCATCCACTGTAATCCCCAGGTCCTTTTTTGCAGAACTGCTGCTTAGCCAGTCGGTCCCCAGCCTCACGAATCCAAGAGAGAACTCCAGAGCCACACTTTGAAAAATATCATGTCTATAAAAAACACTGCTGAGGGTCCAATGGTCTGTTGAGCTATCATACAGCAAAGCCATCTAAGGTGAGAGATTTCGGCTGGAGGTGGAATGGTCAGCTGATACCTGCTGAAGTTCACCTTGTTTTTGAAGAGACTAGCTCTTCTAGAGCAACCCACAGCAAAAAAAACCCAAAAAACAAACAAACAAAAAACCCACCCAAATCCCAGACATTGGAAAACCTCCTCAAACTTCCGCTGTTCAGAACAGAATCAGTCTAACAAGCTTGGATTCCCATGGATGCAGACAAATGCTAGGTCCTGTTCAGATAAGCTCTTTGGGAGAAGGGATTTTTAATGCAGGAACTCCTAAAGCTTGAAACTGGGCTGCCTTCGCTTTCCCTATTGTGGAGGAGGGATAGGTCAGTGGTTTGAGCATTGGCCTGCTAAACCCAGGGTTGTGAGTTCAATCCTTGAGGGGGCCATTTGGGATCTGGGGCAAAAATCTGTCAGGGATGGTACTTGGTCCCGCTGTGGAGGCAGGGGGACTGGACTCTATGACTTTTTGTGATGAAGTGGGACTGTTCTTAATGTTTTCTCTGAATATTGTGGGGGTGCCTCAGTTTCCCCCTATAAAAAGGAGTACTTGTGGCACCTTAGAGACTAACCAATTTATTTGAGCATAAGCTTTTGTGAGCTACAGCTCATTTCATTGGATGCAGTGAGCTGTAGCTCATGAAAGCTTATGCTCAAATAAATTGGTTAGTCTTTAAGGTGCCACAAGTACTCCTTTTCTTTTTGCAAATACAGACTAACAGAGCTGCTACTCTGAAATCAGTTTCCCCTAGGCAGTTCTTAAGTATCTAGGTGGTGGGATAAGGGTGTATGATCGTTGCAGAGCCCTAGAGGGCAGGTGTGTGCAGGGGTCTGGACACAGAGAATGGCCAACACCCTGTGTCCTGGCAACTGATGGCCTGGCCCTTCCCCCCTGCAAGGTGAGAGCTAAAGGGTTGGAGAACAAAGGAATCAGGTGACCTACTGGCGGCGGCGGGGGGGGGGGAGGAGGGGGACGACAGACAAAGCCCAGAGGAGGAGGGACTGGAGAGGGTTTCAGTTTTGTGCTGGGTGGTGGCATGCAGGGAACCCCAGGGCTGGGGTCTAAGTTCCCTGCCCCCCAGAAGGACTTGACTGAGGGGTCCTGGTTGTACCCACAAGTTCTGTTTTAGACTGTGTTCCTATTGTCCAATAACCCTTCCGTTTTACTGGCTGGCTGAGAGTAACAGTGAATCCCAGGAAGAGGGGTGCAGGGCCCGGGCTCCCCCACACACAGTGACACCTTTCAAGGTCCCTTCCAGTTCTGTGATATAAGTATATCTCCATACTAAAAACACTATTTCCTGTACATTCAAGTACATCCTTCAGATGTGCTCCCAACTCCATTGTAGAAGGTCAGCAACCAAAGACTATTTCATGAAGAAACATCTTCCTTTCTAAAGGATCAGGTTGCAGAGTCTTCTGGAGAGTTCGCAAAAAGAAAAGGAGTACTTGTGGCACCTTAGAGACTAACCAATTTATTTGAGCATGAGCTTCCGTGAGCTACAGCTCACTTCATCGGATGCATACCGTGGAAACTGGATTCCCACAATAGCAGGACTCTGCAGCACAATCTCTAGAGGAATTGGAGTCTGCACTTATAGGCCTTGTATGTGCTAAGTTAACTGCAAATTGCAAAACAGAAATTAAGAGATTTTGGGGAGAATTAAACAGCCCATTCTCTGCAATAAGAAACTGGGACTTTTAGAGTTTCAAAGCACTATTTTCTGGAGAAAATGAACTCCACAAATTGACAAAACTGGGAGACTGTCTGCAGACTTTGGAGATGAACTAGGGAACTAGTTAAAAAGAAAAGGAGTACTAGTGGCACCTTAGAGACTAACCAATTTATTAGAGCATAAGCTTTCATGAGCTACAGCTCACTTCATCCGATGAAGTGAGCTGTAGCTCACGAAAGCTTATGCTCAAATAAATTGGTTAGTCTCTAAGGTGCCACTAGTACTCCTTTTCTTACTGTAAGGAGAGTGATCACTTAAGATGAGCTATTACCAGCAGGAGAGCGGCAGGGGGGGAATAAACATGGGGAAATAAATAGTTTCACTTTGTGTAATGACACACCCATTCCCAGTCTCTATTCAAGCCTAAGTTATTTGTATCCAGTTTGCAAATTAATTCCAATTCAGCAGTCTTTCGTTGGAGTCTGTTTTTGAAGTCTTTTTGTTCTAATATTTGCGACCTCTAGGTCTGAAATCGAGTGACCAGAGAGATTGAAGTGTTCTCTGACTGGTTTATGAATGTTATAATTTTTGACATCTGATTTGTGTCCATTTATTCTTTTACATAGAGACTGTCCAGTTTGACCAATGTACATGGCAGAGGGGCATTGCTGGCACATGATGGCATATATCACATGGGTAGATGTGCAGGTGAACGAGCCTCTGATAGTGTGGCTGATGTGATTAGGCCCTATGATGGTGTCCCCTGAATAGATATGTGGACACAGTTGGCAACGGGCTTTGTTGCAAGGATAGGTTCCTGGGTTAGTGGTTCTGTTGTGTGGTGTGTGGCTGCTGGTGAGTATTTGCTTCAGGTTGGGGGGCTGTCTGTAGGCAAGGACTGGCCTGTCTCCCAAGATTTGTGAGAGTGATGGGTCTTCCTTCAGGATCGGTTGTAGATCCTTGATGATGCGTTGGAGAGGTTTTAGTTGGGGGCTGAAGGTGATGGCTAGTGGCGTTCTGTTATTATCTTTGTTGGGCCTGTCCTGTAGTAGGTGACTTCTGGGTACTCTTCTGGCTTTGTCAATTTGTTTCGTCACTTCAGCAGGTGGGTATTGTAGTTGTAAGAATGCTTGATCAGGAACTAGTTGCATCCGATGAAGTGAGCTGTAGCTCAGGAAAGCTTATTTATGCTCAAATAAATTTGTTAGACTCTAAGGTGCCACAAGTACTCCTCTTCTTTTAGGGAACTTGGTTTTCACTTGACAAGAGAATTACACGTTACCTGTTGTCAGCAGCACCAGCTTTCATGCTGAACGTGGTTGTTTAACATTGATTCTGCATCCCTGCAGGCCCTTGATTCACTGGAAGCAAGCAGTGTCCCCAGGGGACAGCAGAGTGTCTCTAGAGTTGTGAGTTGCAATGGACACTGGAAATCCAAGTCCCATAAAAGCAATATTTGAATACTGCATCATCACCTCTGAATAAGCAACAGCTACAGAACTAGCAGAATTTTATCCCATTAATAATGTCCCAGCCAGCCCAAGAAGCGAATATGTCAGTGCTGTGGGTCTCAACTAGTGGACTGCACTGTGTGTTTTCTAATAACTTGTCTCAGAGGAAGAGCCAAGAAAAGAATACATTCAGTGAGGTGAGTACCCCAAACAGCCCAATGAGAGAGAATCCTGTGATAGAAGAAAAACTCAAACCTGTCTTACTAAGTAGCTCAGAAGTGGAAAGGTTTCCCTACACAGAGGGCTAGGGAACATGTTCTAAAGCTCCTAAGTCACTCTGGAGCCTAAGACCCATTTTCAAAGTTTAGGCTCTCAGTCACTGCTGAACATGTGATTTAGACACGTTTGAAAATTTTATCTTCGATGTAAGAAGCAAAACAATTTAGATCTTTAGAGCTGTTTCCCAAGACATTTCATTTAGAAAAAAACATTGCATAGACTTACGGAGAGTTTTTCAACTATAGCTGTTTTGCCCTGGCATTGCTGCCCTTCCCAGGTAAGGCATGATGCATCAATCTGAAACAGTCAAAACAAATTTGGTCACAGCCTGCTTGGGAAAGTAAATAAACGATTTCTCTTCAATAACACCAGCAAGGGAAGACTTACCAATGCTGTGCATGCACACAGATTTATCAGAGCTCAAACTGGCTACACTCAGCTTCCCTAGGAAAAGTGAGGCATGTAACTGTTTGCATGGTTCTCTACAGAGCAATTAATTCTGTAATGTCAATTACACACGTGCACTGCCTTCTGTAACTAGCTCAATGGATTGCCAGTACTGTTAATAAGGGTAGGAGTCACTTACTACTGGCTGCCAAGGGTACAAGGTAAGGAAATTAGTTACCTAAAGGGAGAGGGGAAAAAACAAATGCAGACGGAGCAATACAAGTAGTAACTGGTTTTTCCTGGTGGTCTGTGGGATTGGGTAATGACGACACTTCATAATCAGAATATATCGGTCAAAAAGCTGCTTCAATTGTGTCAGAGCAGGTGGTGTTTTTTCTGGAAACTACAGGAGGACAGGAAGAGAAGTAAAGGACATCAGACACACCCAGAACAGATGGAGAGCATGAAGAATTTATGCTAACAAATCTGGTACAATTACTTACAGAAACTTAGAGATTAGAAATAGACATGCCCTATCAGGGCCCCCAGTTCATTTCAGGAAAGGCAAAAAACTTTCTAGAGAACCATTCTAATACTTCATCCAGTCTGGTTTTCAAGTGATTCAGACAGCTTCCATCTCTGAGCCCTTCTAGACTGTAAGAGGCAAGAAGCCTGCCCTATCTGTGGTCCACTAAAGCTGCTTCCCATGAGCACCAGAACAAATGGCCACTAGAAGTTAGTTTCAGAGGATGCAGTCAGAACAGTCTCCTGTCAAACCAAGGCTATGGCTATACTAAGAGCTTACTGTGGTGCAGCTGAGCTGCTGTGAGCTCCGTAGCATAGCCGCTCTAAACCAAAAGGAGAGAACTCTCCCGTCGACTTACTTAATCCACCCCCAATGAGCGACGGTAGCTGTTTTGGCAGGAGACACTCTTCCTCCAACAGAGCACTGTCCACATCAGTGCTTAGGTCAGTGTAATTTACGTCACTCGGAGGGTGGCTTATTCACACCCGAGTGACATAAGTTACACCAATATAAGTAGTAGTGTAGACACAGCCCAAGAAGCTGGATTCTCTGAAGCATGGAGCATTAAAATCACATCATCTCTTTTTTCTTTTTTAAATTCTTGATTTCACTGAGCTTTACAAAGCCACAACCTAATTGGAAATTTTGCACTATTGCAATGTTTATGTTTAGAATCAACTGAACTATAAGTGCAGTTTTTAAAGCAGTTTTCAGGGTCATTAATGGTAGGATTTCTTATCTGAAGACCACAAAAAACTGGTATAGGCAAAAGAACATTAAAACTGTATTTATTCAAAACGTCTTATAAATCCATAATGGTACAAAATGAGCATGTCTACAAAAAGCTTGCAATTTTAAAACAGAAAAGTTGTTTAGCATTTCAAAATGAAGTTCAAATTTGTAAAAGCTTTCTGTGAACACACAAAGTTTTATCATTAATTTCATAATGCAACAATTTAAACAAAATTACAATCCATGGTCCAAAATCTTAATTTAGTTACCTGAGAGTCCCATTATTCAAACTGACTGAGGGTGCTTTTAAGGCTTTCAGAATTTAAATGCTCAATAAGGAAATAAGGAAAGTCAGCTTTGAAGACCTATCTGTTCTCCAGCAAATATCTGATTGCACTAAGCTGAGTGATGAAAACAGGTTATTCAACACCAGTAGAAGAAACGGGAGCTGTTAAGAGTTGCAACTCTTCTTTCAATGTCTTCTTTCTTTGTTTTCAGCCAGGCTCTTTACTTGAGATTTCCATCTCTGAACAGCTGCTACATTTTTCAGTATTTCACTGGAGAAAGTAACTTGCTGAAATAAAGACAACAGTAGCCTGCTACAGCAGTTACTGTCAGCAGAAACCCATTAAGTGCCGATTGCTCTGGTGTGAGTGGAACCTGGCACATGCAGGGATCAATCATATTTTACAAAGTGACATGGCATTTACGCATGATCATAATGCTTTCAGAACATGCACCACAATTTTAGTCAGTAAATTTATTCAGTCTTCCAGACTTCAACAATTTCAGCAATTGAACATGAATTCCTCGCTATAGAACTGAGGGCTATTGCTATTGACATCCACATCTAAAGCAACGCCTCAGCACCCCTCTTCACACCAGTATTTGTCACCTTCTGGCAGAGACTCAACATCCTGTTTATACTGTCAGCAGATTTTCATTAACTGGCCACTTTGAAGAAGTACTCCACCTTACTTCAGGCGGTATGACAAAAAGTGCATAGTCAGTATGATCTGATATTCTCTCCTTCAAAGTTTCCGGACAGTAAATTTAGCATATGTGCGGATCAGCCATGTTACTGGCAAAAGATTTCCTCATCTTAGCCATATTGGCTGTCATAAGACTAGTCATATGGCACTTATACCCAAGCACACTTTTTGACAATCACTAGTGGCTGAAGTCAAATACTCAGGCGAATGCGCAGAGATATCAATGCTTGTCATACAAGTAAACAACTTGTGCCTGATCAATAATCATAATACACAAGAAGTTCCTTGTAAACATTATATGACTCCATCTGAAGAGGATCTGGGGATGATAGTGGAGAACAAATTGAATATAGTCAACAATGTGATGCAATTGCAAAAAAGGCTAATATTCTGGGCTGTATTACCAGGAGTGTCATATGTAAGACATGGGAGGTAACTGCCCTACTCTACTCAGCACTGGTGGGGCGTTAGCTGCAATAGTGTGTCCAGTTCTGAGCACCACACTTTAGGAAAGATGTGGATAAACTGGACAGAGTCCAGAGGAGAGCAACAAAAATGATAAAAGGCGACCAGAACTATGAGGAAAGGTTAAAAAAACTGGGTCTGTTTAGTCTTTTGGGCGGGGGGGGGGAGGAAGACCTGACAACAGTCATCACATATGTTAAGAGCTGTTATAAAGAGGACTGATCAATTGTTCTCCATCTTCACTGGAGGTAGGATAAGAAGTAATGGGCTTAATTTGCAGCAAGGGAGATTTAGGTTAGATATGAGGAAAATTTTTCTACCTGTAAGGGTAGTTGAGCTCTGGAATAGGCTTCCAAGGAAGGTTTTGGAATCCCCATACCTGGAGGTTTTTAAGAACAGGTTGGACAAACACCTGTTAGAGATGGTCTGTGTTTACTTGGTCCTACCTCAGTGCAGGGAGTTGGATTTGATGTTGTCTCAATGTCCCTTTCAGCATCACATTTCTATGATTCTATTTGTTCAGTTTCTAAAACCTCAGTCTCCTCTTCAAACACTTCATCCAGGAGACACCCAGTCACTGCAAACTCTGGTGGAGCAGCATTTCAATCTTTCTGATTTATGACTGTTCAGTACATCAGAAGACGGTACTCCTTACAAGCACAGCACCAGCTATTACCTTGTCAATTGTGTGTTCTAGTTTGTGGTGTTCTCAAAACAAAAGATGAGAAAGAGGGTCTGGGGTGGTCTTTTTTGATGCTGATGCACATTAAGTGTGAAACCTAACAAAACTCCATGTAAAAAGTCAAATTATACAGAAACGAGTACAGAGTAGCTACTTCAATTGTTTAAGACTAAAATGAGAAGAAAGTAACTTTAGTAAATGTAAATAAAAAACAGATGTAATATTTTTCAAGATAATGATTTTATCTGACCTGCTGTACTTTGCACAGTACATCACCTTGTTGCTTCCAAGCTGTTTATTCTAGTGGTTCATATTTAAGTTAGTGAAACACTTGTCCTTTCACTTGAGTGTTATAATCACTATAACAAACTGCTTTCATATAACCAAGATTGGCAATATCCGTGGTACTTAAAACATGCCCTGTACCTTGTTGAGCTGCCACTTAGGACTAATTCAGTCAGGACCAAGCAGCTCACACTGGCCTCAGAGGGCTTATGCTCAAACAAGACCATTTTTTATTGTTCTTTCAAAATATGGCCAACACCACACTAGCCACTCAATTGTCCAGGTGATGAAGCGATCGCCTGTTGAGTGCTTCAAGGGATGACCTGTACATCCATTATCCCATGCCCCCATCAAGTTACTATAGTTTAGACTTGAAATTAGACAAAGGTTTCTAATAATCAGAGGAGCAAAGTTCTGGAACAGCCTTCCAAGGAGAACAGTGGGGGCAAAAAACCTAACTGGCTTCAAGACTGAGCTTGATAAGTTTATGGAAGGGATAAATATGATAAAACTGCCTACAACGGCAGGTTGCCAATATGTGACTGCTAGCAGCAAGTATCTCCAATGGCTGGTGATGGGACACTAGATGGGGAGGGCTCTGAGTTACTACAGAGAATTCTTTCCCATGATGGTCTCTTCTGGCCTTAAAGTCTATAGCACACGCTTTAAAAACAAAACAAAACAAAAAAAACTTCACTGAATTTTTGAACACACACACACACACACAAAAATGAGCTGAGTGACTCTGTTGTATGCGAACCAGAACTCGAGCAGACTAAAAGCAAAATGAAGTCCGTTTCTAGATACAGATTCCTGATGGCCTTTGAGAGTCAGCTTAGAGCTCAGATGATTCAGAATACCATCTCCTTCATTTTGGTTCCTGTATGACCAAAGCCTCAGTTACTTTTTTTAAATGCCTGTTGCTTTAGCGGTCACAGGGCAGACTGACTCAGATGCCTTTCCGGTTTTTGCTTCATTTCTGGAGAAAGGAAACAGTTTGGCTTTTTTGGCATGGTCTGAGGGCTCTGGGTATTTCCTGAGAAAGAGGTATTTGGGCTTGGTTCTTCTTTTGTCAGAGGACACATGAGAAGGACTTGTCATAGCAGTGCGTGCCCTGGCTGTATAGAGCTGGTGGAGAAGCTGTTAAGCAATCCTTTAAGTGCTGAGCCCAGTTCAGGAGATCTCAGGAAGACAAACTATTGGCTACTGAAGATTCTGGCTGACCTTGCACATGTTAAAAGGACCAAGCGTAAATGTTTGGTGATTAAGGGCCCAAGTTCTGTAGGGATCCATAAGGAAGATGCAACTGCTGAAAAAGCTCTGCCTAAGGGTCCCTTGTGGACACTGTCTGTGAACATAAATAGAAGGCCGACTTACCCCTGTCTGGGTCATTACAGGAGAAGTTGTGGTAGGGGGTCCCTGCAGATAGTGGATATGGTAGCTGGAGCAGGGGCCAGAGGAGCAGAGCAAGAAGCAGAGGTAGCTCAGACAGACTGCTGAACTCTCATGCATCCTTTGGAAAAATAGAGGCATCTTCTGTGACGCTGCTATACAGGGGACACAGGAGCCGGGGCATCCATCATGCTTGCTGATACCTGCATTGTGAAGGGCATGGGGCAGACACTGCTCATGGAGGTGGCACTGGTAGGGCTTTGAGGGCACCACTTCCTCCATTGGGCCTGCTCTGAAACAGCCACTCTAGCCTGCTTGCAGGAGGAAGCTGCTACCTGGGTCCTCTTGCTGGGTGAAGGGGCTTCCACCAATGCACAGTTGAAGGGGGAGCACCAGAGTGTACACGTCCTAGCCGCGCTGCCTTTGTTACTTCAGTAGTTTTCTCTACCCCACAAAAGCTTTGGCTGAGGAGTGGCTATGGTGGAGATGGGAGCTGGACAGCTCCAGAGGGGTTTAATTTGGGGACCCCCACAAAATAATTTGGAACAAGTCAGGAGTAAAATTTTAAATTCTTGTGCTCTGAAGAGAAATACAACATGAAGTCTGAGAACTACATGCTACAGCTACTAGGCACAGCTGGGACTTACCAAGCTCCATCTGATTGCCAAGTCTAAGCCTGCTTCCTATGCACCCATGAAGAGGAAAGCTCACAGTGGGAATGGAAAGCCTGGATGTGAGGTACAACAATTTAATCCCTATGCCACTGTTCACCACTTGGTTCACAGGGAGCTTCCCTGGCACCAGCCTATAGGCAAAGGGAGTCACAGAAGGCAAAGAGTAGAGAGTTGCTAGACCTCCGACATGGCTCCACTCTGTGCTTGAATGGAAAATGAACATGAATAGGCTTTTCAGGCATAATTAGGGTCCTACCAAACTCACGGCCATGAAAATTGCATCACAGACCATGAAATCTGGTCTCCCCGCCCTCAAAATCTGGTCTCTTGAGTGCTTTTACCTATACTATACAGATTTCATGGGGGAGACCAGCGTTTCTCAAATTGGGGGTCCTGACCCAAAAGGGACTTGCAGGGAGGTTGCAAGGTTTTTTTAGGGGGGTTGTGGTATTGCCACCCTTACTTCTGTGCTGCTGCCTTCAGAGCTGGGCGGCCGGAGAGTGGTGGCTGCTGACCGAGGGCCCAGCTCAGCAACACCGAAGTAAAGGTGGCAATACCATCCCAGGCCATCCTGACTTCTGCGCTGCTGCTGGAAGCGGCTCTGCTTTCAGAGCTGGGCTCCCAGCTCAAAGCCACCACTCTCCAGCTGCCCAGCTCCGAAGGCAATGCTGCCACCAGTGGCAGCTCAGAAGTAAGGGGAGCCGTACCACAAACTCCGAATAACCTTGCAATCCCCCCACAACTCCTTTTTGAGTCGGGACCCCTACAATTACAACACTCTGAAATGTTAGATTAAAATAGCTGAAATCATGAAATTTACAATTTTTAATATCACATGACCGTGAAACTGACCAAAATGGACCGTGAATTTGATAGGGCCCTAGGCATAGTGCTGGCTGTGGCGGGGTCTTGAGATCACGGAGGGCACATTTATCTTTCCCATAACAAAAACAGCTACTGTCCTGCTCCCAGCATATTCTCAGGGTTATAGATGCGGACCCTGATATCCTCAGTTCAGCTCCATCTTTGAGTTCCCAAAATTACCTAATTCAGTTTACCCCACTAACTAGCAAAACGAAGCAAGCATGTGGCTTTTACACAGAGGTTTCCTCAGGGGACAACCTATGGTGCCCTCACAACCTACCACCAGTGGGTGCTGTTCTGAGCACAACTGTCACAAAGCAGGCAGACAATGCTAAGAAGAAGTGAGAGGGGCGGGGAATAAATAATCCAGGAAGTGTGACTGAGAGGACTAACATTTTGGATTGGGGGGGGGGGGGGGGAAACCATCAGCTTTTCCAGTGCAAGAGTTTAAGATAAACATCAATGAAATCTGATAAGGGTTATGAGAACCCTCCTCCCACAGGAGAGAGGCAGATTTAAGAAGTGGTAGAGGGCCCTCACACCCCTTCATTTGGTACTTACATATAGGGATCCTAAATGGGTCCTGTCTGTATCAAATATCCGGTAGTAATGTTGTACAAAACTGGATCCAATCTGCTCCCAAATAGGCTTGTCTCCCATTCTGAATCCTCCGCCGGAGCCAGTGACTGTAAAAAAAAGTCAGAAAGAACAGTTCATCGATTCTAAGGCTAGAAGGGACCCCTGTGATCACCTAGTCTGACCTCCGGTAGAGCACAGGCCAGAGACCTACCCCAAAGTAATTCCTACAGCAGGTCTTTTAGAAAACATCCCATCTTGATTTAAAAGTTAAATGCTGGAGAATCCACCACGACCCTTGGTAAACTGTCACCCTTGGTAAACTCTCACTATTAAAAAGGTACACCTTATTTCCAGTCTGCATTTGTCTAGCTTCAACTTCCAGCCATTGGGTCATGTATGTTTGTTACAGCTTTCTCTCCTACACTGAAGCACCCATTATTAAATATTTGTTACCCATGTAGATACTTAAAGACTGTAGTCAAGTCGCCCCTTCTGACACGAAAGAGCCGCCAAAGGCTGTGTTAATATGTAAACAACAGTTAAATCAGTCTTAGAGTACAGCCTTACAGTGTACAGCCAGCCAAGAACATAACTCTGACTAGGCTTTTAGACTACCAGATCTGTGCTGCTGCAATATAGCAGCTGTCTGCTGCATGACTGGGGACGTCACACAGAACTGCATTTAGGGAGCTCCTGCACTTCTCTGGCACAGTGGCAATGGAGAATGGAGCCTTTAATTGCGCCAATAAAGCTGCCTCTGCCACTTGGTGATGGCCATTTTACATAGCTCACTGGGGAATAAATTGCTTCCTTTGTTGTCCCAAAGAGCAAAGCTACAGTCACCCGCCCTGTAGCGACACCTCTACCAATAACCACAAGGCAGTGATACCCAGGATTTCAGTGCAGTTGTTTTCTACATTAAATATTGGGGCAGTCAGTACCCACCACTTCCCATTCAACTAGGCAAACTAGCCCTCAGTGGAGTCTGGTCTGCTCTTGCAGTACCAGATTTGGACCAATCTAAACTCTGTTAGAGCATGGACAACTGAATGAGAGGAAGGAGGGCAGCAATTATGCATTGGGGCCCAGGACCAAGGCTCACTATTAAAAAATAGGGAGGAGAAACCTGAAGTAACAGCCATGACCTAGAAGTACTGGTAAGGATACCAGCAGGTGGTAGTCACTGCCTTATGGTTAGTATAACAGGGGAACTCTATTTTCCCCAGAAATGACCCCATCTGGTGCAGTTTCCCAGTATGGATTAGGACTGGTATCCCCTGGCATACAGCATGGAGACATTAAAGGTGGGAGCAGAAATTTTTTTTTTTTTTGCCAGTTACAGAATCAATGAGTCTGCCATCTTGTTTTGGCAAGTTACAAATTGAGTATTGAGCCTCAAGTGGACCTTCCAGATCTGTGAATAGAATGACAAAGGCTAGCCCCTGGAGCAGCTTCTTGTGGTGCCTGCATACCTAGCCTTGATCACCAATTTTGAGTTCTCCATGTGTTAGCAAATATAAGAAAAACTAGAATCCACGAAAGCAGCACCAATATGTTTGAGATCTCAACAGGAAGAGGTAGGCTCAGATAATCGCCTGTTAAAGTATTGGTAGAATGTTCTTTAGCTGTTCTAATGGAAGTAAACTTAAGAAACTGTTGTGGGGCACTAAGGGATCGATAACCCATCTGCCCTTACATGAGAGAGTAGTCCCAGAGCTCGAATGCTCAAGACAGATCTCACTAACATTTTCTGGCAATGAGCTGAAGGGGTAAAACATTCATTTCAATCAGGGATTAAGGTAACTGTTGATACTTCGTCAGTCTAAAAGGATGAAAAGTTTGTGGGTCTCTGTGTGGGGGATTATTCTTAAATATTATAAGGGGACTTCCTCTCAGAATAGAAGGAAGGACACAGCATGAGTATCATACATAGAGTCAGGAACAATTCAATAAATTTGAAAGGAATGTGGGACCCCTTGGCTGAATGTAGGGTTAGGGTGGGAGCAGTGGCTTTTTTTTCTAGCTAGCGCTCAAGGGACCTGTAGAATCAATCCTGATCCCTTTTCTCTCAAGGAGGACTGGTGTGAGACAGGAGGCATTTCCTGACGCACGTGAAATGGAGCAAGTTTGCCCACACACACGATAATTTACATTAATTACATATACATTGAAAAGTACAACACAAATCACATATAGTAGCTAGAACCTACATGTGCACGAGGAGCTATATGTTAGAGTCGCTGGTGAGTTTTAAAAAAAAATACCAGTACAAGCTATTATATTGCAGCTAATATTTCACTTAAAATCTCACTTCCAAGTTCATCACCAAATTCCCAAAGACCCCAAGACATCAGATGTGAACTTCTTAGTCAGACTTTGCATTAGACCCAGACGAGTCTTCTATCCTTCCTGCAGCGTTTGTCATAGTCTGCATGAGTCTGTGGAGAAATCAATGGTGGCAAATTTTCCAGGCAGTTGAGCTCTCGCTAAGTCTATGCTGTGCTTCTACTGCCCACGTGAGCAGAACCTCTTGACTGTCACCTTCTTGCACTGGGCTCCCCACACAGCGTTCACTATTACGATCAACTTCGCCTGGCTTTGCTATCTAATATCCATGCAAAAACCTCACCCTTCAGTCACTGGGCTAGGGATCTGGGGAACGAGAGGTGAGTACGAGCGTGTTTAATTTTGTCGTGCTCAGTCAGATCTGCACAGAAAACCTTTCTAAAAATCACTAGATGAACAGAATAAGAAAAACACATTTTAAAATAACTAAATCTAAAAAAATACATATTTAAGGAGCACTGCTAGAAAACTCAACATTTTTTAAAACAAACAAAAACAAGTTAACAGTATTTCGTTCAGCCTAGTTCTTTGGCGGCATCACAAAACACAGCCCCAGTTCATATGGTTTTAGAAAAGTGAAGGAGCATTTTCAGAAACAGGCCCAGGAGGTTGTGATGTGCATAAAGCTTAACATTCATCCATCCATGGAGTTAGAATGTATACCATTAAAGTAATCAAAGCTATGATCAAACATTAAGCCTTCCTTTCTGATGCAAGCAGATTCTCGTTTCTTATTCTAATGATAGTCCAAAATGTACACTAGAACTCTGTTATACTCTATAGACAATTTGGCTCATCGACTGCAGCATCTGGAAAATTTATCTTCAGTGCTATTTAAGCTGGAGGCCAAAATTTACATCAGTAACTGGGTTTGAAAGAGAACCACAGTGACAAACAAAACAAGAAAAAGTTAAGTGCATGAATAGTAGAAAAATCTCCAAACTTAATAGTAATTCTAAAATTCAAGCGACCTACTTCTCTCAGAGAGCTGAGGAGCAAAGCCTCTGAGAATCCCTCCCAAGAAGGAAAAGCTACATTTTCTTTTTCCTAAATTGAGAATGAGCTTTAGGGTATTTCTACACAGTAATCAGGTTTCAGAGTAGCAGCCGAGTTAGTCTGTATTCGCAAAAAGGAAAAGGAGGACTTGTGGCACCTTAGAGACTAACCAATTTATTTGAGCATGAGCTTTCGTGAGCTACAGCTCACTTCATCGGATGCATTCCTGTGAAGTGAGCTGTAGCTCACGAAAGCTTACGCTCAAATAAATTGGTTAGTCTCTAAGGTGCCACAAGTCCTCCTTTTCTCGCTACACAGTAATATAAGCTCAAGGTTAGTGGAATTCAGGTCAGCTGACCTGTGTCCAGGAACTCTGGGCTTGAATGTCTACACTGCATTTAAACCCTAGGTTAAGGATTTTCTGATCCATGCTCAAACCTAGCATCCACACTGCAGTGCACAGACCCAAGTCAAAGTAACCCTATCCCAGAGTGCTTTGTGCTCTCCCCTCCCCAGGTGACACTCTAGCCCTACAAATGTGTTGCACCATTTCCTAATTATGATGGTGCTATTGATCGGACTCAGGTGCCCATAAAGAACAGATGAGTACATAAACTGCATAATTAGCTCCTTTGGTGGCTATCCCAGTAGAATGATTGCAGTGTGAGAAGGCTTTATACCAAACTATCATCTAATCTGAGAATTGGGCTCTCCACTTTTAGGCTGAGGCACACTGGCAGGAAAATGCCCATGTGCACCTGCTCCAAGGATAATTAGGACATCAGTCTCCAGGGCTGTCAAGCTATTAAAATGAAACTTTGCAAGTCTTAATATTTAGAATGGGATGTTCAGTGAAGGGGTTTTTGTTTGGTTGGTTTATTTATTTATGTCTGTTTGTTTTGATATTTGACATAAAATGTAGGTTTCTGAGGAAGAACACACACACCCCTGCCTGGCTGCTGCTGAGCAATGAAGTGCATCTCCAGCAGACCCCGGGGATCACTTATCCCTTCTCACACTGCACCCAGGAGGCAGGAATAAGGGATCCCCATGAGGCTGTGGCGGAAGTTTTGGGGCTGGCTCCCACTCACTGCCCTGACAGTGCAAGCTGCCCAGGTGTCTGTGCATACAGTCCCAGGGAAGGTAGGGGAGCCAAGGAGCAAGGGACAGAGAAAGGAGTGGGACCTGCCACATGAACCATAACTAGAGAGCTAAGCTTTCAGTTGGCATATGAATCTGTATGATTCCCAAATAAGCCCACAGCTGCCTGTTTAAAATCACTCCAATGTAAAGCTAGTAGCAGGTATTAACATTAAGAGTTTCACTGGCACCTGGCACACATCCACTAGCACGTTCTGCTGCAGCTAAAAAGGTTAGCTAATCTGAACATTGGCTATTTCTAAATTAAATCTTCTCTCATACGTCACATGCATTTAGCTTCAAGAATCCATTGCACCAGTAGTATCAATTTAAGGGCAAGCCATTTGCAAACACTGCTGTAACCTGTTTTTGCTCTTAGCTAAGAAACTTGCAATCCCCACTCTCCACGCGCACACATAGCCTCTTCCAACAGCTCCAGATGGACCCCCATTGCTCTGGAAGTTTTACAAATCTTGGCTGCAAAATCCCACCCCAAAAAGAAATAAAATGATTTGTTTTTAATCTAGACTTAAAATGGGACAGTCCCTGCAACCTTTACTATGGAGAAGCTACTGTGACTATGGTTGGGACTGGACTTTACTCCTATATGCACGATACATACCTG